CCTCGTCACTCTGTAATACTCTGTATACCTTCCACACTTAGAAAAAAAGAAATAGGGAAACAGTAGAGTACTTCTTTCTTTTTTAACTCTTACTCTGAGTGCTGTATTATTAGTCTGGTGCGGTTTTTATTTACATTTTAATTATATATTTATTCTCTCTCTCTCGTGTGTGTGTGTGTGTGTGTGCGCGCGCGCGCGCGTGCGCGCGCACTCGCACGTGTGTGAGCACACAACCTTGCCTGCCTGCCACAGCACGTGTATAGAGCTCAAAGAACAACTTTTGAGATTCATTTCTCTCCTACTATACAGAATTAGGGAATTGAACTCAGGTTGTCAGGTTTGGCAGCAAGTACCATTCCTCATGGAACTATCTTCTGGTTATAACTATATCCATATCTATACCTATATATATATATTTCTTGGTTTATTTTGAAATAAAAAAAAACTGATAATTTCACAGTTCTGGGAGTATAAATGCTCCCTAAATTTGGATTGCTAAAAACTGAGCCGGGTCTAGGCCAGTTATCTTACACTCGTCTATACTGTAAAGATAAGCTCCACAGGTTTATTATTGCTTTGGTTACTCTAACATTTAATTACATTGCACGCATTCACCTATTACATAAGAGCTTACTTGTGGAGATGTTATTTATAGAGGCAATCCATACTGCCAGCTTGGTAACCTGGTTATTGGCTCCAAGTGTCCCTGAGACAGGGAGATGTGAGCTAGAGAAAGGGTTTCATGGTGTGGTTTTCTTATCTCATTGAGGTTTTGTGAATTCTGGACTAGGCTCACTTGTGTCTGGCTGTGAAGTCACAACAGCAGTACAAAGAAGCAAATGCCAGAAGTGTCAAGAACACACACTTGCCGTGGTCTAGATGTTTGTGTCCTCTGCTTTCTCAGTTTACATGTTGAGACCCAATGCACACGGTGTGATAGTATTCACAGGTGGACCATTTGGTAAAGTGTTTTTATAGAGAAAGGCCACTTGGGCTGGGGATTTGGCTCAGAGGGAGAATGACTGCCCCAGCACACGCAAGGCCTGGACTGGATTACTCATCATGGGGGGGTGTAGGGGAGGAGCTTGTGTGTCCCTTTCACAAGCACACTGTAGGGATATAACTTGAAAGGTGTCATCTGTAAGGAAGCAGTGGAATCTCAAATTTAAGCTTTCAAGCAATACATTTCTGGAATTTATTTTGAGGGGTAGAGTGGGGTAGGGGTGAGAGACAGTGTTTCACAATGAAGTCCAGAAGCCTGGCCTAGACTCACTATGTAGCCCACGCTGGCCTCATACTCATACTGTCTCTCTGGCCTCAAGCCTCCCAAGTCCTGAGATATAGGCACTACTCACCACAAACCTCTCTGCAAGTGTTCAGTTTAACACACACATCTGGGGAAGCAGTGATGCCCAGAGTGTAAATAAGACCAATGTCTTAATTTTGAAGTCTTATTCTATACACATTTCTAAACAGCACAAGTTGTATGGGACAAAAAACTCCCTGAAGACATTTCCTTCACCTTATAGATGTGGTCATCTTGCCCTTTGTATGATTCTACTCTTCATCAGGCAAGAAAACAGAACAGAAGCAACTGTATTTTAGCCTTGAAGAATGCTGTGGCAGTGAGCTTTGGGGGACGGGAGTACACCAAGACCAAACTCGGGCATCAGGGTCAATGGCACATGCCTACAATTCCAGCACTCAGGATGTGGAGACAGGAAGATTAGGAGATTAAGGCTACCCTTGGCTCCCTAGCAAATCTGAGAGTTTGAGACCAGCCTGGGCTACATACTTAAGACCTTCTCTGTAAAACAAAAACAAAAAAATTACTCCAAACAGAGCAGTAACAACACAACCATGCAAACAAAGACTCAACTCTAACCTATTTTTTTAAGGCCAGCTTGACCTCAAACTCTATTGGAGAGATTGGCTTTGAGCTAGTAGTAATCCTCCAGACTCAGCCTCCCAAGTGCTAGGCATATTGGCATGTACTATGATGCTTGGCAAAACTAAAACTTTGAAATGCAACAAGAAGAATATAAAGTCTAGGCACATAGTACATGAATGTAACCCCAGCACTGAATCAGTAGAGGCTGAAGGATCACGACAACTCAAAGACTACCCCGTTCCATACAACAAGTTCCAAGTCAGCCAAGACTACATGGTGAGACTGTCTAAAAAAAATTAATTTGGATGTGGAGTAATGAGCTAGAGTCAGTTCTGATGACTTCTAGCTGTGGTACTCTTGCTTTTTACTTCTCCAAGCAGTTCACTAGGAGTGCATAAACATCTATCTGCTTTGTGTGGTGGTGTGAGGACTAGATGACATCTACCTGTGGGGCGCAGCACTTTATAGGTCATCCAAATCAGGCTACTTTGGTTATTGTGTTTTCAGGGCTTCTGATACGCTTAAGCTTTATGCTCTCTCGGGTGGGCAGGAGAAAAGGAATAATGGATAAAAGGGATTGGAAGGGAAATATGGGAAATAAAATGAACATGAAGATTGGCCATTCTCAGGGAATCAAAGCAGAAACTCCCCTGTTTCCATGGAAAAGGATGAAGAACTGCAAAAGGAGAGAGCATTGCAAAGACGTATCTTGTGTAGAAGAGATTGTGTCCAAGGACCATTCCAGAAGAGAGAAGCCTTTGTATTTGTTGAAGAAGGAAACAGGAAGTGGAGGGCTAGAGGTATAACGGAGCACTTAGCATGTGTGCAGCTTTAAGTTCATTCCCAACACGGTGTCTCCCACTAAATACGTTATGTGTGAGAAGAATAGGGCTAACACACTGTGATTTGGGGGAAGGATCTAAACAGATGTCCTGAGGAATATGTGCAAGGAATTATGGAAATCATACTGGAGGATGAAAAGGTTTGAAAGGAAAATGGCAGCTTGAGTGTTCTAGAGGTGAGCATTATCAGAGTGCTCATACAAGGGTTTTGAGAGTAGTTTGTGCTGCTAGCATGCTTGCTCAAATGTTCCATTTTATCAGGGTCCTGCTGGGTCTGAGGAGGGGTCTTATGGGTTCAGTTTTGCCAGGATCACATGGTAACACTCAAGATAGGTATATGGTCAGACAGATGGACTAGCCTTCAGTTCTGACACTGAGTCAGGTATCTCTTCTTTCTGATAGTCTGATCTTCGCTTGCTGGTGTCCGTAACTTCATTTGGCTAAACTTCTTTGGTTTTGTCCACTCAGAGAAGGGTGGCTGTCATTTCCAGTGGGTGGAACTCCTTCTTAACTCTCCTTTGCTGGTTATCTAGTCCAGTGGTTCTCGAGTCTCTTTCCAGACAATATTTAACATTTTGTGGGGTTTCTTTTTTTCTTTTTTATTTAGTGGTGTGTGTGTGTGGGGGTGTGCTTACTTATGGGCAGGACAGGTGTAAAAGCTATCCTTCTGCCAGATAAAGAGTTCTCTTTTATCCAGACTTTCAGAAGTCCCCTGGGACATTCATGTAGGTGAAAACTTTCATTTAATTATCTGAGCCTAGAACTTCATAGTTTTTTTTTAATAGTCTGAATATGCAGTGAACTTTCTAGGAATACAATTACATTTCTGTGTGAGTTTAGGGAAGCTTGATTTTGCTACCAAGAGTTGCTCAACATTTTCTGAAGTGACTTCATTGATAGCAGCATGCTGGAGGTAGTTGAGTCACTGGCTGTATCAGTGTGTGTTGGTAGAAGTTTCACCTCTGTGATTCTATGGAGAGGTGTAAGCATATCCCTGCTTCGAGTGAAAGTAGGCACTCATGCACTAAAATGCTGTTTATGTTATTTTATTACAAATCACTATGCTCTTATTTCCTCCTTAGAGACAGGGAAATATTTTGATCTTTTTAGTCATGTGCTCAAGGAACTGATGTAATCAATCTATGAATATTAGTTCGTAGTTTTAAGAGCCATTACAAACATTTGTCCTAATATAGGGTTGAAGATTGAGACTCAGTTCTCTTGGGTCTCACAATATCTGGTTTCCGTTCACCTTTCTGGAAGAATTAGCCGCAAAGGAGTGTCCCTCCTTTCTTTTTTCTTGGCAGGACTCCCTTTCACATCTTTCCATACATCATCATTAGTAAGGACAATTGCAATGCAGGCACCTTGCCTGTCAGACCTCTCTGCCTTAGAGAACTCCTGGTATTTGGTCTGTGGCCAGTGTGGATGACAATACTGGCTCCTGCTCACCTGAAGGTTCTCTTTCTTTATGTTCCCTCCTTTCTCCATCTACCTCAGTTTCTTTCCTTGATGTCCCAGGTCTTTTGCTCCCTGCCACAAACCGGCAAGAAGCTGGTTCTGGCTTTCCTACCCCATTTTTCTCCCGCTTAGGAGGCTCTTGGCGTCCCCGCCAACCTCAGCTGCCCTTCTGACCCTGGCTTCTCCCTTCTCTTCCAAGGTCTGTTCTTCTGGCCCTTGGCATCTGCTTCCCTCCTTTGCCAGGATCCAGATCTGTCTTCCTTCTCTTTGTACAAACATCCTTTTCTCCACCTTCATCCAGGCTTCTGTCTCCCTGCCAACTCCCCTCCCTTGGGCTCCAGTCGCCTCACCGCCTCGCCCCCCCCCCCAAGTCTCCAGCAGTCTAGCCGGCTGGTCTCTCGGCGGTTGCAATCAGTCCCCGCCCGAGTGCGTGAGCACCCTTGTCCCCTCCATCCTACCTCTACTCCCTCCCGAGCCGTGGGCAGTCTAGGGAGGGGCCAGGATCCGGGGCGGCTCCCGGGGCTCGGGTTGTGGGAGGCGCCCTCTCCCGGTCTCCCCCTCCCTTCCCCCCCGCCCCGTCTTCCCCTGCACCCTCCTTCCTCCCTCCGCCCGAGAGCTTCCCCGGTCCTCGGCGCCGCCTCCTTCCCTCCCGGCTCCGCGCTCTCGCGGCCGCCGTCGCCCCGGGGAAGGAGAGACGGGGGTGGGGTTTGCGGGTAGTGAGAGAGGAGGGGCGAGACCCGGGCCGGCTGGAGCCCGGATTCCTAGGGAAGAAGGACAGGGGGAGGGGAAGCTGGAGGACCGGGAGGGAGAACGGGGAGCAGCGGCCGGGCCTGGGGCCTTGAGGCCCGGGGAGAGCCGGGGAGCGGGACCGGGCGCCGAGGTAAGAGCAGGGCCCCAGGAACCGGGCTTGGAGAGGGGAGCTCAGGGAGGCTGGTCGACGCAGGGCAGGGCCGGGGGGGCTTGGGGGTCGGGTGCAAGTGGCAGGCGATGGGGCAGCGGGACCCTGGAGCGTGGGTAAATCTGGGCTCGCGCTAGCCAGCCACCGGGGCGGCGGAGAGGAGGTGGAGAGAGGTGGAGTCCCGGGAGGGTGGGGGGCCGAGGGAGGCCGGAGGAGGGTGGGGACAGGCTCTCTCTCCTCCTCTCCCCCAGCCCGTGCGGCTCCGCCCCCGCCTCCTCCGCGGGGCGCCCTCGGCGTCCCGAACCGCGCGGTCGGAGCCTGCGAGGCGCGCAGAGCGAGGTCTGTCCGTCGGCTGCTCCAGGCCGCTGCCGGCGGGCTCCGCCGTGCTCTCACGGCCGCCTTTTCCTCAGATGCTGCTGCTGCTGCTGCTGCTGGTGCCTCTCTTCCTCCGCCCCCTGGGCGCAGGCGGGGCGCAGACCCCCAACGCCACCTCGGAAGGTGCACCCTCCTCCGGCGCCCCGGACCTCTTCCACCCTCTAGCTCCTTTCCCTGCACGTCTCCTTTCCTCCTCACTCTCGCGTCAGAACCCCACCCCCACCGCCCAGCAGCCACTTCACTACTCCTGACCTCCTTTCTGTCACCCCGCGTCACCACCAGCACCCATTTCCTCGGCCTCACGTTGCTACACTACACCGCTTTTCCGTGACCCCGAATTATCTTCTCAGCTCCACCTCCCTTCCCGGGCCCCACATTACTACAGCGCCCCCCTTCCGCGGTCCACTTCGTTGCTCAGATGGGCTTGTGTGGTCGGTCCTCTCTTCATTCAGCTCTGAAATCCTCCTTTAGCCTTGTTCCCCCATTTTAACCACAGAACACTATACCCCTTACGATTTCTTCTTAGCTATTCTTCTCCATTGCACTTCTCTACCGGTGGACTATCGCATCGGCTTTTGCCCTAACCCATGACTCTGGGTTCTGCAGCTTGGGTTCCTTAACTGTCCCCACACCTACCTTTCGGTCCTCCCCCATCCCACCCACTGTTTTTGTCCCCATCCCGGGCCCTACCAGTGACCACGCCCTGCTCTTCCTCCTTCCACTGCGGCGCTGCCTTCCCGCTCCCACGGTTCCCCTGTGCCTCCCCACTCCCTCTCAGGTTGCCAGATCATACACCCGCCCTGGGAAGGGGGCATCAGGTACCGCGGCCTGACTCGCGACCAGGTGAAGGCCATCAACTTCCTGCCGGTGGACTATGAGATTGAATATGTGTGCCGGGGGGAGCGTGAGGTGGTGGGGCCCAAGGTGCGCAAGTGCCTGGCCAACGGCTCCTGGACGGATATGGACACACCCAGCCGCTGTGGTGAGTAGCCTGGGAAGCACCCCCCGCCCCCCCCCATTTTCAGGCCATTCCATTCCCAAGTTACGAACGAACGAACCATAGTTATTTTTGCAAGTCAGCAATTTAAACGCGGTGGAAACAAATTCACAAATGCGTTTAATGAATGAGTACTATGTAGGAGGAGGGGCGGTGCTGTGAGCTGTTAGTGGGAGGTAGCAAGCTAGCAGCCAGCACACCCACTTCATCCTCTTTATTAGGGCACTGATCACTGGATGAAATAACTTTGATTTTTTTTTCCATCTGAGTTCTTTGAGGATCATTAGCGAAGGAATTTTTTTTAAGTTACAAAACGATCTCATTACATTTTCTGATACTTTTGTCTCTAACTCAATGACCATATAAGCCAGTTTAGTATTATTATAGACTAGCCATAATAAGAAAAGCAAGCCTGATCATGCATCCAAATTTACGTGCATCTACATATTTCAAAGGCAGAGAACTACCCGCTTTACTGTGAGCAATTCCTATTTTGTGTGTTTATAGCTCCATCTTGGGTTCCTACAATAGAATTGCTGGGTTTTTTCTTTCTTTCTTTCTTCTTTTTTTTTTCCTGATAGGAATGTGGATGGATACTGGGGGCTGGGAGAAAGGGGGGGGGGGAGAGGTACAGAGGCATAGCCATTGCATACCTGGTTTCCTGTGGAGCAGGATGCTTGTGAACCCAAACCCAAGCCTGAGTTCCTTGTCCTCCCAGGGGAAAATCCTCTACAACTTGTCTTTCTCCTTATTTTCCTGTCTCTCTACAGTCCGAATCTGCTCCAAGTCTTATTTGGCCCTGGAAAATGGGAAGGTTTTCCTGACGGGTGGGGACCTCCCAGCTCTGGATGGAGCCCGGGTGGATTTCCGATGTGACCCCGACTTCCATCTGGTGGGCAGCTCCCGGAGCATCTGTAGTCAGGGCCAGTGGAGCACCCCCAAGCCCCACTGCCAGGGTGAGGGGAACAGCTGCCTGCCTGCAGCTGATGAGGTTGCTTGCACTAGAATGCGAGTGGGGAATGGAGAGAGGGAAAGGACGGGTGTTATGAAGGATGCTGGGGAGGACTTCGGGAAGACGGAGGTGAAAGCCCAGCTCTTTCCATCATCCATCTGCCTCAAACTTGGTCCCACAATCCTTTGTGTTCACTTTTCTGGGCTTCCTTCCATTCCATTTTCCTTTAGTGTGTTCTTTCTGCTTTCAAATCTCGGGCCTTTTGTTTTCTCTTTTTCTTCATTAATGTCACCCTAACCCTCACCTTCTTAAAGTTTAATGCCTGGGATTTTTCTCCTGGAAAAAACCATTCCCCTTTCCGTAGACTTAGAACATCCTATGTATCACTCTTCTGGAATTTATTCTTCGCTATTCATTCTATAATGGAGTTCTATAGTGGGAATTAAACCATGCATTACGTTTAGAAAAAATGATCGGCGAGATCTGGGATTGGAAACATGTGGAAGAGGCAAAATGGGGGCAGAATGATCATACAATAAGGACAACTCAAGGGCTGATGGGAAGACTGGGCCTTATCTCTACCTTTTACAACCTCGGTCATTCCTTGAGGGAATAATTGCTTTTGCATTTGCCACTTCTTTGCCCTACTCTTTGTTTCTGCAAACATCTCCCTTTTCTGGGCACCGAAACTCTTCATCTTCTCTCCTGGAATGAAAATTAAGCTTCAGGGGTCCTCAGTTTTGACTAAGCCCTTGTTTTGAACTTTTAAGAATGTGTTCATATGCTAGCCAACTTTTGAAGAATTTACTAAGTTAAGGTATTTGAACGGCAACCATTTAAAAACAATTGTATTTGTAGTTTTTTTTTCTTAAAGAGACTACAGATTTTTTTTATAATATTCAAGCTCTGCAGAAATAAGCTATACCCCGACTCCTTTTTTAATTGCTGGCACAAATTCTGTTGTCCTTTGAAAAATAAAGAGAACACCAAGTCCTGACCCCCAGCCCCGCCTTGCTCTTATCCCCAGGCACCCTAACCCTCAACGCAGTCTCCGCTCCGCATGAACAGGTGTGGGAGGGGGCTAGGGATCAGGCCTGGGAAGCTGGGCGCCAGTGGTAACTCTTCTCTGATCCCGTCTTTCCTGCTGCCAGTGAATCGAACGCCACACTCAGGTGAGATCAGAAACCCTTCCCGCGTGCACTGCCGCCCCCACCCCCTCACTCTTCACCCTCCACCACCAGGATTTCTTTTCGTAGGTTGTGGGTGTCCTGTTACTCATCTCCCCCAACCCATTTAGTTTACTACCTGTTTCTTGCTGCTAAATCGTGGTTTTCCGCGGGTCGGGCTCCCTCCCATCTCCCTGCTTGGCCGCGCTCTGCGGGCTCGCGAAGCCCGGTAGGGGGCAGCCGTGTGCCGGGGGGGATCCCAGGCCTCTCCTGCGTGGGGTTCCTTCAGACCTCAGGGACCTATTCCTGCCACCCCTACCTAGGTTTTACCCGCGAGGTTCCATGGCCCTGCTCACCGGCCCCACCCACGCGGGGCCTCGCATCCTCCGTAGACCCTTTCTCGCATCACCCTTCCTCAAGCCTTCCCTCGGCCACACTGTCCTTCCCCTAACGCTCACTTCTCACCAGTCCTCACTTTCTCGACCCGTACTTTGCTCTGCAAAACCCTTTCCATTGCTCTCTCTTAGTCCTTAGTCCCACCCTTAGTCCTTCGCTCCATCTCCCCACGGCCCCCTTTAAGAACTGTCACCAGCCCCCACCCCATCCAACCCACCCTCACTTCTCATCTTTGCATTGTGCTTAGCCTCTCGCATTCCAAATCCTCTTGGTACCCTCCCCTCCAGTCTCCTTAGGCGGAGACCCCTCCCTTCTTTGCTCTCTCCTTCCTCTCCCCTCCTCTCCGGGCCTCGGAGCTGCCTCCTGTCCCCGCCCCCAGTCCGTGACGTCAAAGCCCCCCTCCAAGCTCCTCTTCTCCCTCCTCCCTTCTGTCGGTCGGTCAGTCGGCGAGGAGAGTCCGCGGTGGCGGGAGCGAGCGCCGCCTGGCCCTAGGAAGCCCACGTCTCTGCCTTCTCGGGTCTCCGGCCCCCTCCTCCCCATGAGACCTGGGATGGAGGCGCCTCCCCGACGCCCTCCCAGCAGCCTTTCCCAGAAGAAGTGTCCCCCCTGAGCTGCCCCCCACCCCAAGGAGGCCGCCCCCGCCCCTCCCCGCCATGGGCCCGGGGGGCCCCTGTCTCCCGGTGGGGTGGCCGCTGCCGCTCCTGCTGGTGATGGCGGCTGGGGTGGCCTCGGTGTGGGCCTCTCACTCTCCCCATCTCCCGCGGCCTCACCCGAGGGTCCCCCCGCACCCCTCCTCAGAACGGCGTGCAGTGTACATCGGGGCTCTGTTTCCCATGAGCGGGGGCTGGCCGGGGGGCCAGGCCTGCCAGCCCGCGGTGGAGATGGCGCTGGAGGACGTTAACAGCCGCAGGGATATCTTGCCGGACTACGAGCTCAAGCTTATCCACCACGACAGCAAGGTAGTCGGGGTGAGGGACAGAGTGGCTGGGGTGGTGGGAGGCCGGGGCTGTGAATTCTCTTTGGGATTGCGAAGCAGACCCCTCCCGAGTGTGACTGGCTGGAGACGCGCAGGAGGTGCAGGAGCTTAGGGAGGTCTCAGTGGCTCTCAAGGCCCGACTCTTGCAGGCAGTAGGAGATTCGTAGAAATGGTGGTGGTGGGGGGGGGGTCTTAGGTGCTGATCTTTCAGAGTAAACTGTCCCTGGCCAGGTTTGGGGGCTGGAAGGAACGTCAGAGCTGGGTAGCTGGCTCAGGGGTTTACATTTACCATGGTAACAAGGTAAATCTTGGCGTAGGTTGGGGCTGGAAGGAACAGGGAGAGAAGGGGGAGGATTTAGAGGGACAAGAGGGCTCTACTTTATCAAAACAAACAGCAAGGTAGGGCTGCCTGACTCTTCATCTACCTTGTGAGGGGTTCCTGTGAGGATGTGTGGCCTGTGGTTCTGGGAAAGACTAATAATAGTCAAGAGGTGAGCTTGGGCACTGGGAGAGAGTATTGGGGTCCGTGAGGAGCCCCTACAACAGCACTGGGGGTGGAGAGTCAGTATACAGGGAGATCAGAAAAGAATGGAGACGGGAGGGGGCGGGGAGGAGGGTGGGGACAGTGAAGAAACCTGGGGCCTCCTGTGGAACTTGGGGTCCGATTTTAGCTTCTGGTTTTATTATCGCGGCCTGGTAGATCTGCAAGGAGAAACAGCCTGCAGGGTTGGGAAGTGGATGGGGGGAGAAATTTCCGTGCTAGAGGATGGTCTGTAATAAGATTTCTTTACCAGGTCCCTCCCCGAGTGGGAACTGACACGACAGGGAAGGAGGTTTAGATCCTTTCTGACTTGTGGCTCCAGAGACTTGAGGTTAGGGAAACAGTACAGGTGGGAGATGTGGCCATTTTATATTTGGGGTGTGTGGAACATCGATCTGCACCTAAAAATAGACACGTGCCTCCATGGGGGGGGCAGAAGTGAGCCTGCAGGCAGGGGAAGGGTTGTTAGGGGCTTAGAGAGAAAACTTGAAATCCCTTGGACTGTTTGTTGCCTTCTCTGTGGGTCTCAAGCGTCACTGAACAAGGATCACCGTTTGTTTAAAACACTAGTTCAAACTCCTTAGTCAGGAAGGAATCCCAGGTAGTGTCTTCATTTTCACCCACAGAAACACTGCCTAGAAAATGCCTGCCTGCAGCTTATACCCCAGGATACCCATGGGAAGAATGGCAGGGCACAGAGGGGGGGAAAATTACATGTGAGGGTAGGGAGGCAGGAAGAGAGAGGGCAAAATAGATAACTGACTATGAGAGGGAGCTAGAGAGAGACAAAGATAGGGCCAGCTTTGGGAAAGGGGTATTACAAGAAGACAGGGGGCATGGCTTGAGCTTAAACTCATCCCCCAATACGAGTGATTCCATAGAGATATTGGAAAGCAAATGGGGTGTGGGGTACTAGAAGAAGGTAGAAGTGAAGGAGGGGGTGTGGCAGAGGATAGGTCTAGAACCTTGGCAGTGATGAGTGGGGTGTGGATGGGGGGGTATGTAAGAACAGGAGAAGAAATGAAGCAGAAGATGGCATACACACCAGGCCACACGCTCCCTGTTTTATGTAACTGTAGGTTTCTGAGTATCATCGTTCATATTAAATAATTTCTTCAGATTGTGGCAAACAGTGGGGGGACAATTTTAGGGCTGCAGAGAAGCTGGGAGCAGTGTCTGCTCTAATGTGAGTTGGGAAGGACCCTATAGTGGTTAAAAATAAATTGTGAAGATGCTAAGTAGGAGGCATGGAAGTGTTCCAAACCTACAGGTGAGCCCTGCCCTTGACAGCGCGACAGAGCAGAGCAGATAGCTGAGTTCTGAGCACATTTTTGGGGGGGTGCTCAGATTTGCCAGCTCCCCCTGGCTCCCTGGGCTTCATGTCTCCAACTTCCCACAGCGTCTCAAATGTCATACCTCAGTAGGGAGCAAGCAAACTCCAGGTGCCTTCTTTATTTCCCTTCTAAACCCCCTCCACCTGGTTCACTCTCTCCAGTCCCCTGTGCCCCTCTGCTTTGACTCCCCACTGGCTGCCATTTCCTCTCCACTTCTTTTGGGGGGCTCCAGCAGCTTCTGAAATGTCATACTTCAGCAGGAGGGGAGCAGACAGTGGGGGACCCGCGGTTGGCTGTTCCTCCCCCAGTTTCCCCTCCTACTTTTCTTCTCCTGCTTTCCTGTCTCTTTCAGGCACCTCTAATATCGTCAGGCTTGTGGAGAGTTCCATTCTTTTTATTTCCCTCATTTTAGAGTCTTCCTTACTCCCCCCACCCCTTTTTTTTCTCTAATGGACTTGTCAAATGTCAGGGCACAGCAGGAAAGGATGGGGTGCTGAGCTGACCCCCTACTGATCTTGTTCCCGTTCTCTCAAACTGAAGGTGGAAATTCCATTGAGGGAGCTGTCTGGGGATCTGGAGAGAAATGAGTCTGTGTTTAGGAATGATTAAGGATGAGCAGAATTGGGGGGGGAAGTAGATTATGCATTAATATGGAAGGAAGAGCGTGCAGTAGTGGGTAGGGCTAAGGTCCCAGATGGAAGTCAAGAGAAGGGAGCTTAATGAAAGAGGAGAAACTAGAAACTCGACAGGAAGAAAAATGCGGTGAAAATGATGGAAGGGGCTAGGTTGCTCAAGACAGTAGGCATTCCAAGATGGGGGGTGGGGTGGGGAGGCGGTTGGGAGCCAGCCTTCATTTCCTCCTTCCTCCCTCAGTGCGACCCAGGGCAAGCCACCAAGTACTTGTATGAACTACTCTACAATGACCCCATCAAGATCATCCTCATGCCTGGCTGCAGCTCTGTCTCCACACTTGTAGCTGAGGCTGCCCGCATGTGGAACCTTATTGTGGTATGCAAGGCAGTTGGAGGGAGGGTCATCTCTCTTTGAGCTAAGTAGAGAGGCTGTGAATATATTTAAGAGGGCTAGAGCGAGGGACCCACTGCCAGGAATCACCCAGCCGAGAACCTGAGCTGGTTGTACTTCTAGTAGTATTGATTGCCTGAAGGAGCTATGGGGATCCATGGATGAGGACTCAGGGGTGTGTGTGTGTGTGTGTGTGTGTGTGTGTGTGTGTGTGTGTGTGTGTTTACCTAGGACAAAGGTGGGGAAGTTTGGAGAGTTGGGAGGAAAATCAGAGCCAAGAAAGGATACTCAGTTTGCGCGGACACCTCTCATCCTTCTGCCTCAGCTCTCATATGGCTCCAGCTCACCAGCCCTGTCAAACCGACAGCGTTTTCCAACGTTCTTCCGAACACACCCATCCGCCACACTGCACAATCCCACCCGGGTGAAACTCTTTGAAAAGTGGGGCTGGAAGAAGATTGCCACCATCCAACAGACCACAGAGGTCTTCACCTCAGTGAGTTCGGACAGGGGATGGGACATGAGGTCCCAGGGGCATCTGCTCTGTTGGGGGAGATTTTGATGGTTTATCAAAAGAGAACACATTCCAAGTGGGCGAAGTGCTTGTTCTTTCTGTAGCCTGGGGAACACATGAGTTGGATTTTTGGAATCCTCGCCATTGTTTTGTTTTGTTCCCCAGACAGATAGGACTGTTCTATGAAAGTAGGTTTAATTCCAAGTTGAGATGAGAGGGAATATGAATAGGGTCTTAAGGAAGCAGTGGACCTCAGTCCTTTCAGGGGTGGAGGGTGATTGGCAGCTGAGTGTGGGGCTGCTGCATTGGGTGGGAAAGAAGATGATGAAGGGACAAATAAGAGTCAAATGACAAAGGTGTTGTCATTTGGTATTGACACAGAGAGATGCTTATACATTGAAGAGGGACAGGTAGTTTGCAGAGGTATAGAGGAAGTTCAGGGCTCCACCCTCGAGGGAAGTAGCCTGATCATTCTTTGAGTCTTCTATGAACTCATGTCCAGTGGCCCTTTAATCCTCCCTTCCCACTTTTTTTTCAGTGACTCAGTCCATCTTCCTGTGATCTTTTTGTCTGTCTGCACACTTGCCTCTTGAGTTGGCATCATCCTGTCTATTCTGGACCCTGTCCTGCTTTTTTCTGTTTCCTCTCATTTCTTCTCAGTGTCAGGAGTGGGGTGGATGGGGCAGTGTCCCTGGATTCAGATGCTGAGGAGGGGCTCATCGTGGTTCTTGGAAGGTGCCTCCTAAGACTGGGGGTGCTTTCTTTCATCCTTTCCTCATGGGGCCCAGGGCAGTTGGAATAAGGGTCAGACACTACTCCTTTGCTGTGAGTTTACAGTCAGTTCTCACTCATGGGCTCTGCTTAATCCTATGTGGACCCCCATTTTCCTCCTGCTTCTTATTCCCACCGAAGACGCTGGATGACCTAGAGGAGCGAGTGAAAGAGGCTGGGATTGAGATCACCTTCCGCCAGAGCTTCTTCTCAGATCCAGCTGTGCCTGTTAAAAACCTGAAGGTGGGCAAGCAGGGCAGGTGGGCTTAGCCTGCCCAGGGTTCACTGTGGGAGGTGGTCATCTGGAGAGTCTAGAAGAGGCAGTCCATTCTGTGAGGCAGCCGAGTCTCCTGGGAAGGTTTAGTTGCCTCTTCAGTTGACATTTATCCACTGCCCATTGAACATTTCTTTGCACTAAGCAGTTAGAGCTGGGAAATCAACGCTTCAAAAGCACCAGCTTAACCCTCAGGCGCTTTCAGCATCCCTCAGGAGCTCTGTTTCTGTTTCTGTTTTATAGCGTCAAGATGCTCGAATCATCGTGGGACTTTTCTATGAGACTGAAGCCCGGAAAGTTTTTTGTGAGGTGGAGATGGAATCTGGAGCTGGGAGGGGCTGGATGGGCTCTCTGCGGTGGTTTTCTCGTGGGTCCTCCTTATGGCATTTCTGCTCAAATTGATAGCAAATGACCTGAGGTGATAATGAATACCAAGCCTGTCTGTAGACTCTGTCTCCGTCACTGACTCAACATGCACATGCACGTTCTCATTTTCCTCTCTTATGTCTTAACACAGTCTTTTCTGAGTGACTGGTGGAGGCATCTTGTTGAGCCTCTCCTGTGGTTTGAAGATTTCAAAAAATATATATATTATTAAAGCTTGAGATTAACATGCAAAGTAATGGATTTTAGTGAAGATTTAAAAAAGGAGGTCGTGTTATTTGATTCTCAAGCGGCTAAACAATGTCTAGAGAGATAATACCACCTCCCTCAGAACAAAGCCAAACCTCAAATGCCCCCTTCCCGACTTTGAATGCAGGTTTATAAGGAACGGCTCTTTGGGAAGAAGTATGTCTGGTTCCTCATCGGGTGGTATGCTGACAACTGGTTCAAGACCCATGACCCGTCAATCAATTGCACAGTGGATGAGATGACCGAGGCGGTGGAGGGCCATATCACCACCGAGATTGTCATGCTGAACCCTGCCAACACCCGGAGCATTTCCAACATGGTGAGCGTGGGGCCTTGGAAACTGGCACTGGGGTGGAAGGGGCTGTGGGAGCGTCAAAGGGGAGGAGCAGGGGAGAGAAAGGAAGGGAGGACAGCAGCAGAGCCCGGTGGCAGAAAGGGGCCTGTGCCCATACTCTGGTTTTTTACATCATGTTTCGTGGGTTCTGCCCGTGCTGTGATTACTTTAGGCAAGAGAGAGAAAAAAAGTGGCATGTACAGTAGGCTTCTGATGACTGGAAGGGCTGTTACCGTGGAAACAAGGAGCAGTTGGTGAGAAGTCAAGTGAGGGAGAGGCATTAATGGTAATATAGAAGCTTGTGTACAAGGCACACCTTTTCCAGAGAGCTTCTCTTGGGCACAGATGTGTTTTTATTTATTATTGATTTATTATTGTTGCTAGTGTGTGTGTGTGTGTGTGTGTGTGTGTGAGAGAGACTTACATTAGTACCTCAGAGAATTGCTTAATATTTACTTTCTTGTTTTTTTTTTTTTTTTGAGTCTTTCTTTGTACCTCTGGATGCCCTAGAACTCACTATGTAGACTAGGCTGCCCTCAAACTCACACAGATCCCCCTGCCTCTGGCTGCTTTCTGGGTGCTTGGAGTTAAGTCATATGCAAGCATTCCTGGCTTTAGTATTCACTGTTCATTTATTTATTTTGGGTTTTCAAGACAAGAGTTTCTCTATGTAGCCTTGGCTGTCCTGGAATTCGCTCTGTAGATGAGGCTGGCCTCAAACTCAGAGATCCTCCAGCCTCTGCCTTCCTAGTACTGGGATTGTTAATACTCACTTTGATTGATGTTATTTTTAATGTTTTTCTCCCTCACTTTTTTTTAAAGACTGGTTAGTCCCAGATAGTTTTCTGGTGATAGCACTTGAAGCTGGAAGGCACTCTGTCTTGACATGGGAGGACCAGGCTAGCCCTGTGTGTGGGGCTATGAGTGGGTGTGGGTATGTGGGGAAGAGGCTCTTGCTGTACAGCACCATACCCCCACAGTATAGGGATCATGACAGGCCCATGGGGTAACCTATGTGTCTGTTAATTATACCTGTTATAACTCCAGTTGCAAAATAGTTTCTTTCAGAGAGGTGAGCTAATGATACTTTTAATAATGGTTGATTTTATGAGGAAAGTTAGGATAGTTGTTATATAATTTCAGGATCTTAACAGCAATACTCTAAACTAGGTTTGTTATTTACATCTTTTGAGCTAGAAAATTAGAACCAGGGAGTTTTAATGACTTGTCCTGGGTCATGCATCTCCTAATGCCCTGTTGAGTTGAACTCCAACCTGTTCTGCCCCATGATTTCCCACGGGAAAGCTCAAAGCCTGGCCAAAAGACTTTACATGTTTATGTGCAAATACTGTTCAGATAATGGTAGTGTTTAGCAAAGGAGAAACGAGGTTCGGGAATCTGCTTCTGGCAGTAGATTGTGATAAAGCGTGGGCTGCAGCATGGATCTGGTTATAAACTGTGCTCTGGAATGTTCTAAGGGGCTGCTAGGTTTAATTTGTCTTGATTAAAAACTACAGTGAGGAAACACTGGACAGCCATTTCCCTGCACAGGGCAAGAGAGCTGAGTCATTTTCTGGAACGCAGAGTAGTGGAGCAGGTTACCAAAGTCAGAAAGACTTAATGGTCCCCTAAGTCCACAACCCACCATTTTAGGACTCTATCTGACACTGGGGGGAGAGAAGGAACTGGCAGAGAGCTTAGAGGTGGGTGGGGATGTTGGGCCTTAGGGTAGGATGTTGGGGGCAGGAGTCTTTTCTGGCCTTTGGTTTCCAGAGAAAGTGCCTTTTTTTTCAGAGGCACACAGAACCTTCTTGAATCCTCAGCTAAAAACATCTCATGGAAAATCCTAGATTTTTCAAAGGAGGAGAGAAGCAGCTTTTTCAAGTGGCTAGGAAGATTATAGGTGAGTCCAAACAGCATCAAAAGAAGTAGATCGGGACAAGGGTAAGGGTGGAGTGGGCAGAACCCTGGAGACTTAGAGAAAGAGCAGAGGTGTCTTAATCCCCATAAGGTTTACCTCAGATGTGTTTGGACCATTCCCCAAATTTCCATCAGAACCACCTGGAAGATTAGGTCAGTACATAGGTTACTGAACCTTTCCTTGAAGTTCCCTTCTGGAGTTTCTGATGCTGCTGATCTGGTCACCCATGAGAACTATAGGTTGCAATGTCTGGAGGGCAAAGGCAGGGTGCCTCTAAATATCCTATGGTTCATAGTTCAGCCCCCAGCAACAAGACTGTCCTGCTAAGGAGGGCAGCAGTATGAGAGTTGAGAAACCCTGGTTCAGGGAAATAATTTTAAGCACCATGTCTGGGAAATGGAGAATTTGAGGCCAGCCTGGGCTACAGGTGTAAGATCATGTACATCCAACCCTACACCTTCCACTAAGAGAAGGTGGGAAGAGAGAGGGAGGAGAGAGACGGGGGAGAGGGAGAGAGAGAGAAGTATAACAGTAATCTTTGCCGACTCAAGGGGGAAAGATTGTTTTTTCATGGTTTCCGGTAGTGCTCTTCTTGGCTAGCTGTGCTGTCCTGAGTGAGCTGAGAATCTGGGGATAATATCATGCTGAGCAGATTAATCCCTTCCCAATATGGTGATTTTCTGATGTAATCTTGACTTTGAACTGAGGATTGGCTAGACCTGAAAGCTGAAGGACTTAACTGCTCAGAAAGTGTTAGCTCGATGCTGTCTGTGAGCACTGGTACCTGCAGAGGCTTTCAGCACAGAAGTAGCTCAGGACAGTGCACAATAAATGCAACTGGTTGGTGCCAGACACCCTGGGCCTGAATCCCAGCATCGTCACTTGCTACAGTGTGACTTCAGGCAAGTTGCAGGACCCTGTGCCTTTGTTTCCTCATCTCCATGATAGAGATAACAATAGAGCCCATTCATTAAAACATTTGAGGATTAAATGCATTGACCTTCATGCCTGTAACACAAAGGACTGTACAAATGTTTGCTGTCACCATCACCACCCCCTACGTCATCACCATCTTCATCACCACCATCATCAGCCTCTTTTTCCTCCTCGTGTATATAGAGGGGCAGTGTTAATGAGACATTAGAACAAGCCGGTTAAGAGGATTTGCTGATTTGAAATATGTAGTCTACTTTTCTGTCTTATGCACTGGACAGTGTGGGAGTATGAGGGAAAAGTGAGCTTAATTTTGTATCCTTTTTTTTCTTCTTCTGTCTTTTTTTATGTTATTATTTTTAAGTATATTTGAGCATATGTATGGAGATGCTAGTGGAGGCCAGAGGTATCAGATCCCCTGGAGCCAGAGTTGCACTCTTGACCACTGAACCATTTCTGCAGCCCATCTCCCTTTTTGAGATGAGAGTCTTACTATGTTGTAGCTCTGAATCACCTCTTTGAGATCTTACTGTTTTTGTCTGCCTCCTGAGTTTGAGATTACAGATGTACACTATTGTGCACTGTCTGTCTGTCTGAGGTGGGACCTACTGTGTTGCCCAGGTTGATCTTGAACTTACAGTCTCAGACTCATGTGTCTGTATTTCCCCCACCGTCTGTCCCTTTAGCCTCATAAGAGCTTGGACTGCACGTGCTGCCACTGTTGTTTCTTTGAATTTGAGATCAGTGGTCATACATAACTACAATGTGTTAGAGTAAATGAGACCCATAAGATGTAAGGTGTTGGGCCAGAATTACAGGCCTGAGCATTGGGAACAAAGATGAGGGTGCAACCAGGGAAACTCACAGGGAGAAGTGTAATAGACTTCATACTCAGCATTTTATGTGTTCTTACTTAATCCTTACAGGGGCTCTTTAACACAGTATTATTCCCGTTTTAAAACCGAATAGCCAGTTTAGTGAGATTTAATAACTTGCTTGAGATTTCTTAGTAGGTAAGTGGTTTAATTAGAATTAGAATCCATTCATCTACTTATCCATCCAATGGACTTTCTTTTTACTTAAAGATGTTACTGTTTTAGATTCACGGCAAAATTGAAAGGTCCACAGTTCCCGTATTTTCCATGTATAACCTCTCCTTTATCAGATTCCATCACCATGAGTATATTGGTTACAGTTGGTGATCTTCATCAACTGTCTGTTGTCACCCAAAGCACATGACTTATGTTTGGGCCAGCTGTTGTTTTTTTTGCATTCTGTGGGTACATGTGCCTTGTGTCTACCTTTACAGTGTCGTATGAAGTGCACAGAGTTCCAGGGGGTGATTTTAGTGTGTCCACTGCGAGCTGTGTGCAATGCTAGGTACTAATGCTTATGAGTTGAGCCTAGACCTTTGTGTTTCAAGGCCCAGGCTGTTTCTAAAAAATGGAACAGAAAAAAAAACATGTTTTGGGGTCATGGGAACAAGGTTTAAAAAATTTCCCCCATGACAGGTTTTCTCTGCATAGCCCTGTCATGGAACTTGCTCTGTAGACCAGGCTGACCTCAAACTCAGAGATCCATCTGCCTCTGCCTTCTTAGTGCTGGGATTAAAGGTGTGTGCCACCACTGCCCAGCAGTATTTTTTTAAATGTATTTTATCCATTTATTTTGTGTATGTGTGCCACACCAGGGTGCACATGTGAAGGTCAGAGGATAACCTTAAGACATTGGTTCTCTTCCTCCACTGTGTGTGTCCCAGGACTCCAACTCAGGCTTGGCAGTAGGTACTTTTATGTGCTGAGTCATCTCATTGTCCAGGAGCAAAGACTATTCATTCAGGTACCATTCCTACACTAGAGCATACCTGTGAATGTTCCAAATCCAAACAGTTACCTGTGGTGAATCTATGTCTTACATGTGTTTTGCAAAGATGAAGTTAAACGTTTTCCTATGTGTGTCTGGGTGGTAAGGAAGGGATGGATGGTCTGATTGTTCTCTGTTATGTGAATGGCAGTGCTGAGAGGTTCAGGAATTCATTCACCCAGAAGCAGAAAGACAAGCATGGTCATTGCAACATATATGGCCAGGTCTCTTCATCCAGGAGTCTAAGGAATTACCATTCTTTTTAGATGTCTTGGGAAAAGGTTGAGTGCCAAGAGAGGTGTGAGTAGGACTGAATATGGACCCATACTGTGCGAAGGGTATTTCTGATGGCTGTCAACAGTCTAAGGAGGCAGCAAACAGAAGTCATACCAGGGTAGCAAGACGTTAGCACCCTAAAGAACAATCCTCCTGGTTTGCAGGCAGACCGAGAAAGGCTGTGGTGTCGCCTTTTCTGGATCTTTCAAAATTGGAGGAGCTGTTAGCTCCTGGGTCAACTCTGCTGTGAAAGTCTGAAGGTTGGGAGAATGCCAGCTCTGCCACTCTTCGTTGCAATACCCATCTCCTCCTTGGCTCTGTGTCTACTTCTCTCCTTTGCCATTCATTTTCCAGAGTGTTTATGCATCAGATTTCTCTGTTGTTTGTAGTTCTGAGCTAGCAGCTGTACACTCTTAAGACCATTGGACCCAGCTAATCCCCGCTTTAGTCTTGTAGCTTCCAACCCAAGATAGACACATGGGTATAGCTAACGATTTTGTCTGTACATATGGTCTACCCGACAACACGAACACAAACCATCCGCTCGAGTCACGGTGTCTGAGCCAGAACTGAAGCCTCTCCCCCTGTGCCCACACACATTCCAATGCTTTCCTCTTGTTCTTTCTTCATCAGACATCTCAGGAATTTGTGGAGAAATTAACCAAGAGGCTGAAGAGACACCCTGAGGAGACCGGAGGCTTCCAGGAGGCACCATTGGCCTATGATGCCATCTGGGCCTTGGCTTTAGCCCTGAACAAGACCTCTGGAGGAGGTGGCCGTTCGGGTGTGCGCCTGGAGGACTTTAACTACAACAACCAGACCATTACAGACCAAATCTACCGGGCCATGAACTCCTCGTCCTTTGAGGGTGTTTCTGTGAGTTACAGCAGCTTTGTCATGTACCCCATGGTAAGGGACACCTTGGAGGGCCCCTAGATGCACACCTTCTTAGTCACAGGCTATAGAAAGAGGGATCCCCAAACCAGAAAAGATGACAATGAAAAGAATCGCTGTATTCTATTGCTTTTCAACCTGGTTCTGGTGTTTACAGGTCAGATGAGAAGTGTAGGATTTTTTTTAAAGAGATTAACAACTCAAGAATTAATCTCCTCATCCCTTTTAAAGTAAGGAAATTAGTGTCCAATAGGGTTGTGTGATTGCTCCTGGGCCCCTCTCTGGGAACTCTCTCACTCAGATCTCAAGGGTGAAGCTTCTCAAAAGAAAGCTGTTCCCAGAATCTAGGGTATGTGCATCTGGGGTGTGTCCTATATGCAGCAGATGCCATAAATAGCCTTCATTCAGAAGCTCAATTACATCAAAAACAGAAGGTTTCAGAATCCCTGATGTTCTCTTTTCCTCCTGCTTTTATACCCTCTGCCTTCCTCCACATGTTTCTCCTCAGGGCCATGTGGTCTTTGATGCCAGTGGCTCCCGGATGGCATGGACACTTATCGAGCAGCTACAGGGTGAGCTCAGGCCTGAGAGGCTGGGGAAGGGGCAGGCAGGGTTGAGCCGAGTGCTCACTTGGGAGATCATCGATGCATCTAAATAAGACCTGGTATTTTTTGTTTACCTTGCACTGTTCGTCAGGCCTTAGACAATGATAAAAAGAACAGTCTTGGGTAGGTCTTTTGCAGTGACTCTGTTCTCTCAAAGGGGCATGTGGATTAAAAAGAGCCTTTCTTTTCTCCCAGTGGCTTTAGTTTTAGTCCCAGAAGTTGCCTGCCTCAGGCTAGGTTGAGGGATTAGGAGCTGTATGTGTGTCCTGAAAGATCAAGAAAAGCTGAACCTAGGAAGCTGGCTCTTTATAAAGGGAATCCTCTCAGTTTCTTGCTATGTGAGAACAGTACACATAGCTGGCCCTTTCTAGATGGCATTTCCATATAGCTTAGCACTGAGGCATCTACAGAGCTTTTGTGGGTTAATCATTCAGGTCCACCTGAACTCAGTCTCTTGTGGCGTGGCCAAGAGGCCCATTTCTTAGCCTCCTGTGAAAAGTTTGTCTCTACCCCCACCTCTGCCACCAAATCCTGTCAGCTCTCTTTGTATATGGGACAAGTGAGGCTGGACATCAGCCAGGGTGCAGTGGATGTGAGTTGGTGTTTGGAAGGAAAGTTGTGTTAACTGTGGCCCTTCTGGAAGAGACACCTTGGGAGCAACTGCATTTCCCTTAGTGGCGCTTTAAGAGGCAGATGTGTATTATCCAAGGCATTAGAACCCAAGCCAAAGGGAGAGAGGCTTCTAAAATTAAAGCCATTGGGGGAAAAAAAAGATCCTGTAATTCTCTCCATCATAAGAGGGAGACTAGGCAGAAATTGCTTAAAGCTTTGGAAGCCAGACTCAAAGTGAGAGACACGTTGCTGGAGAGGTGTGAGACAATAGAATAGGTGGTAGACCTGCAAGGCGCCTTCCTCTAAGAGCCTTAAATACCTGAAGGGTTATTCCAGGTGTTCAGATTGCCTTGGGAACCACCTTGTGTTGCTGTGAAGTTGCCCATCCAGGTCACTTTGGGTCCTTCAGTTGCTTAGGTCAATGGCATTATATGCAAACATGGAGGGCAACTTTGAGGGAAACGGAAGCTTGAAAATGCCTAGGGTGGCTTCTCCCTGCCCATGACAACTCCAGTCCTTTGCTCAGGTGGCAGCTACAAGAAGATTGGCTACTACGACAGCACCAAGGATGCCCTTTCCTGGTCCAAAACAGATAAGTGGATTGGTGAGTTCTTCTTTGGTCCTTCTGAATAATCATTGTCAGACTTTTGGATGAGGGAGCGAGGTACGGTTGGGTTGGAATGGCAGAGGAATGGGAGTGAACACAGCCTCCAAGAAGGGGGGGCCCAGTTGATGTAAAGCTGGAACAGGCCAAGGGTCATCCTGGCTCTGCTGCAATGAGTGGGAATTAAAAGCAACACAGAGGCGCAGAGAAACGGAAGCTCTCCTCCAGCCTTGATACATTAGGAACAGGGGGGACTTCAGGTCCCTATCAGGAAAATAGCTGTTAGCCTGTAGTAGAGGAAGCAAAATTTCATACCCTTCTTATTATCTACTTTGCCCTTTGTTCTTTTTGACTTGCTTTGTTTGTTTTCCCCTGAATTTTATATATTCATTTTGTATGCATATGGAGGTCAGGGGGCAACTCATGGGAGGCCTCTCCTACCACCATGTGGGTCCTGGGAATTGAACTCATCAGGCTGGATCATCGGGTCCTCAGGGCCTTCACGCCCCGAGCCGCCTCACCAGCTTTTGTGTCTGGTTTTTGTGTTGTTGTTTGTTTGTTTCCCTGAGTCAGACCTTCATCCTATGTCTCAAGAGTGTTGGGATCTCAGGTGTATACCACCATGCCCAGCTTACCTTGCAGGTCCCTTCCTTTCTTCCTGTCTTCCTGTCTTCCTTCCTTCCTTCCTTCCTTCCTTCCTTCCTTTCTCTCTCTCTCTCTCTCTCTCTCTCTCTCTCTCTCTCTCTCTGTTTTCTTTTCTTTTTTCTCTTCTTCTCCTCTCCTTCCTACCTACCTACCTACCTACCTACCTACCTACCTATCTATCTATCTATCTATCTATCTATCTATCTATCTAAGAAAGAGTCTCACTGCATAGCCCTAGCTGTCCTGGAACTCGCTCTGTAGACCAGGCTGGCCCTCTAACTCACAGAGACCCACCTGCCTCTTCCTTCTGAGTGTTGAAATTAAAGGTCTGTGCCAGCACACCTGCCCTACTATGCACTTTGTTTTTTAAAGAGGGAAAGAAAGCAGTTATTTTGGTATGCTAAATGACGGGAAATGGGAAAGATACTGGAGGTAAGCAAAAGGGAAGTTCCTACTGATGAGGAAGGATGCTAAGGCCATTGAAGGCAGCTGCCACCTGCTCCTGCCTTGCCCAGTGAAGTGTGTGTGTGTGTGTGTACACATGCATGCTGTGTGGCCAGTATGCCATAGTGTTCTTGTAGAGATTAGAGAGCAACTTTGTGAAGTTGGTCCTCTTCCATCTTTTTAATTTTAATTATTTTTATGTGTTATAGGCATTTTGCCTGTATATATGTGTATGTGTGCCATTTGTGTGCTTGAGGCCAGAAATGGGCATCGGTGTCCTGGAACTGGGATCACAAATAGTTGTGACCTACCACCTGGGTGCTGGGAACTGAACTTGGGTCCTCTGGAAGAGCAGTGTACTCTTAACTGCTGGGCCATCTTCCCAGCTCCCTATTTTATTTTATTATTTATTTTGAGACAGACTTTTACTTTGTAGACCAAACTGACTTCAAACTGTGTCAATCCTCCTGCCTCCGTCCCCCAAGCATTGCTTCAGTTACTGAGTGAGTTAACATGCCTGTGCTTTGCTTCATTTTTATTATTTATTTATTTTTGTAGCTTGAATTTAGGGCAGTGTTCTGTACAGTTATAGACGCTGCCTGGCCTAAATTGAACTTTATAATTTTTCTTTTTTAATTGAAATTAAGTAGGTGTTTTCTGTGTCATCATCCTCCCCCCCCCCACACACACAAATTTGAGCTTTCCCTTAATAATATGGAAACACTTTTGGGGAATACTACCCTGCTAGGGTTGTTCTTGTGCCTTTTCCTGGAGGTTAGAAGAGCACACTGGATACTCTGAGGCTCTCCTGGCTTTCTGCTTCTGTAATTGTCTTTTGCACCTTTAATAGTGCAGCAGGGGATGTTATGTAGGGTTATTTCAGCTGTTCCCTTCTGTAGCTGTCCCAGCCCCCCTCCCCCTGTAAGACAGAGAAACAAAAAAAACAAAAACAAAAACAAAACAAAAAGAACAAACAATCAAAGCCAGGAGTGGTGGCATACACCTTTAATCCCAGCACTAAGGAGGCAGAGGCATGCAGATAGATCTCTAACTTGCAGGCCAGCCTGGTCTACAAAGGGAGTTCCAGGACAGCCAGGATGTACAGAGAAATCCTGTTTGTCTTGAAAAATAAAAACAAACAAAATGAACATGCAGCCCAAGAGACCCTCATCACAGACCCCATCTTCTCATTTTCTGGTTGTTTCTCAAGGTTCCCAGTGTCCTCCAGCATTCTGCCTGCCATAGCCCCTCAGTGCATTTGATGGCCCAGCAGATGGCCTTTCACCCCTTTCTCCTATCCTGCCTTCATGCCACTGTCCTCCCTTCTTTTTCTTTTCCCCTCCTCCCCTGTGCCATGCAGGAGGGTCTCCCCCAGCTGACCAGACCCTGGTCATCAAGACATTCCGTTTCCTGTCACAGAAACTCTTTATCTCCGTCTCAGTTCTCTCCAGCCTGGGCATTGTTCTTGCTGTTGTCTGTCTGTCCTTTAACATCTACAACTCCCATGTTCGGTAAGTTTCTCTTCTGACTTGATCCTTGGCCTGGCTGCCTCTCTGAGGTACTGACCATACTTCCTGAAGAGTAAGAAAACAAGAGCTCTCAAGGCTGTGTGTCATAGAGTGTGGAGTGATGACTCACCAAAAAATGTAAGGGAGAACCAGGCATGACCCCCTACCCTTGCTTTAAAGAAGTCAGCTAAAACGGCAAAAATATGTGAGGCCCAGTGCACAATCCTGGGCTTTGACTAGAGTTTGCTACTAGGGCCTTGTGCTGCAGGAGCCCTGTGCTCCCCTAGGTCCCAACCTGTGGCCCAGCAGCTTATCCTGAGTATTCTTTCTGTCTGTTCCCAGTCTGTCTCCTCTATCCGCCCTAGGGATAGGGTTATGCTGTTGATGACATTTTTGGAGAGCCAAGCCTCCCTGGAGGAGATGGGGTAATTCTGCTTTCTCTCCCACCCTTACCGCCTCTGCCCTAGTTATATCCAGAACTCCCAGCCCAACCTGAACAATCTGACTGCTGTGGGCTGCTCACTGGCACTAGCTGCTGTCTTCCCCCTTGGGCTGGATGGTTACCACATAGGGAATGGCCAGTTCCCGTTTGTCTGCCAGGTGAGTAGATGGTGAGCCAGCTTATACCTTGTAGAATATGGCTTTCCTGGTCCTCTCAGGAGCACCTCCCGTGTCTCTCTTCTTTCCCTGACGAGTGTCTCCTGTCCTGTCTTCCCCCTAGCACCACCCTTTTGATCTCTTTCTCTCTGGCTCTGTCCCTTTTTTGGGGGTGCCAGGCCTTTTCTCTGGCTGGTTGCAAGGTTGCTAGGCATGCCTCGAAGAGGAGAGCCGTGAAGTACTGAAGACAAAGGAAGGGGCCCGCGCTCGGAACTTATGAACAATAGTGGCTTGTTTGTGGTGTGTGGGCTGAGAAACAAAACTGGGCTTTCCCGTGGGAGTCTCGGTTGGAGTTTGAAAGGATGAAGGCAGAATCAAAGCAGATAGAGTTAGGGCAAAGGACTTATCATTACAGAGGGAGGAGGGCCTCTGGGGACTCTTGGCCCAAGGAGTTTCTGGGACTGTGGGGAAAAGTTGGCTTCAGTGATGTTTGAATGGTTCTCTACTATAACGAGGCACCCACTCTTTCCCTGATTCCTTCCGTTTCTGTCCTCCATTGTGTTTCTGTCCTGATCGCACTCTGTGTGCACACACGCACACTCATGCCTTCGGGAAGTGTCTGTTCCTACTGGGATCAGCATGCAGCAGGAGAGAGGCAACTAGGAGATAACATCTAGGGAGGGATCTGTAGAAAGTGCTGTGGACAGAGAGAAGGGAAGCAGCTCATGGTCCATGTTTGAATGGCCCTCAGCAAGGAGGTGGTGTTTGATGCATGAGATCAGAAAGAGAGTAGATAAGGCAGATTGAGTGGTTCAGCATAGCTGGCTGGGGCACAGGGAAGGTGAGGGCCTGGGAGACCAGGGGATGGTCTGTGCTGAGTTACATTCGGAGGTGGTAACTGTAGGCGCTAGATAGATCAGTAGGCTTTAAAAGAATACTCTGGTTCTGTAGTCCCTTTCCTTCCCTCCCCTCCCCTCCCCTCCCCTCCCCTTCCCTCCCCTTCCCTCCCCTCCCCTTCCCTTCCCTTCCCCTCCCCTTCTCTCCCCTCCCCTCCCCTCCCTCCCTTCTCTCCCCTCCCCTTCCCTTCTCTCCCCTCCCCTCCCCTCCCTTCCCTTCCCTTCCCTCCCCTTCCCTTCCCTCCCCTTCTCTCCCCTCCCCTTCCCTTCCCCTCCCCTTCTCTCCCCTCCCCTTCTCTCCCCTCCCCTCCCCTCCCCTTCCCTCCCCTTCCCTTCCCTTCCCTCCCCTCCCTTCTCTCCCCTCCCCTTCCCTTCCCCTCCCCTTCTCTCCCCTCCCCTCCCTTCTCTCCCCTCCCCTCCCCTTCCCTCCCCTCCCTCCCTTCCCCTCCCCTCCCCTTCCCTTCTCTCCCTTCCCTTCCCTTCCCTTCCCTTCCCTCCCCTCCATACTCTGCTTGTTTTGTCCTGCCTATTTTTTGCCACCTGGTCACTGTTCACATTGTTTCCTGTAGCTCCATCCAGCATGGGCTCAGGCCCACCTATTACCAGTGTCTTTTCTTCCTTTCTAGGCCCGCCTTTGGCTCCTGGGCTTGGGCTTTAGTCTGGGCTATGGCTCTATGTTCACCAAGATCTGGTGGGTCCACACAGTCTTCACAAAGAAAGAGGAGAAGAAGGAATGGAGGAAGGTGAGTGACTTCCCAGACCCAGCCTTTGATCCCAGGCATAGAGAAGACCTTTCTGACCCGTCTTCTCTGGATATCTACTCAGACCCTAGAGCCCTGGAAACTGTATGCCACAGTAGGCCTGCTGGTGGGCATGGATGTTCTGACTCTTGCCATCTGGCAGATTGTGGATCCCTTGCATCGAACCATCGAGGTATCTACCACTTGAGAGGAGTTGCTGAGCTTGGGAAGCTGAGCAGGGCCCATCAGCTTGGCATTTCCAGGGCTATATGTGGTCTTGAAGGATACAGCTACTTAGTGAAGGCCAGGCTGGTGGCGCATACCTTTAATTCCAGCGTGCCTTCAATGTCAAAGCTCAGGAGGCAGAGGTGGGCAGATCTCTGAGTCTGGTCTCCATAGTGAGACCCTGACTTTAAAAACTCAGGGAGAGAGCTTCTCAGTTTTCTTTAGATTAGGGGCTCTTCCGTCTTTCCCGGGTGGAGCCTTATCGAAGCTTCTTGGTTTATCAGGGGTCTGGGAGGATGTGTAGGGTTTCCAACCATCAGGGAACGGGGAGAATAAGCCCTTCTAGTGTGCTCAGGAGAATGTCCCCAGGCCTGAAGTAGGATGTGGTGCAGTACCGCGTCTCGGGAAAACAGGCAGGGCTGGGGGTTGAGGAGCTGGAGAAGAGTTCAGTCATGCATCCTTTTGCTCCTTTCCTCCCTCAGACTTTTGCCAAGGAGGAACCAAAGGAGGACATTGATGTCTCCATCCTGCCTCAGCTGGAGCACTGCAGCTCCAAGAAGATGAATACGTGGCTTGGTGTGTGGGATGTGGGCTGAAGGAGGAGAGGGAGGAGGCAGGAGGCATGGGTAACAGCAGGAGGCCAGGGGAGAAGGACCATTGGGAGAGGAGCCAGTTTCAATGCCTTTATCATTGCACTAAACTTTTCAAGAGTAGGAGAGCTTTGGACTTTTGCTGTGAATAGTGATGTTCAGCAGAAGGCCAGGGCAGGTGAGTGACCCACCCATCTGTGACTGGTCAGCTCCTGAGAGTAAGACCAAGGTTGTAAGATCATAGGCTTAGCTTCTCTTCAGCCTGACTAACATTCCTCCGTTCTACAAATCCACACGGTGAGTTAAAGCATGTTCCTGCCTGATGGGCTAAGGGTTGAGACACTGTGTAGCATCTATTGGATCATTCCTAGCTGCTCCATTGGAGGCTGAAGTGAGGTCTGGGCCAGGTAGGTGCAGCCACACTGAGAATTTGCTATGTCAGATAGAGAGGAAGGCTTCCTTTACACAGAGGAGCTACAAAGAGCAGAAGTAAATGAAGGACAAAGATAGGAAGAGGGTTGAGTAGGGAGTGTGATGGTCCTGTTGCCCAGGTGATGCTTTCCTGTTGTCCTAGGCATTTTCTATGGTTACAAGGGGCTGCTGCTGCTACTGGGAATCTTTCTTGCATATGAGACCAAAAGTGTTTCCACTGAAAAGATCAACGACCACAGGGCTGTGGGCATGGCTATCTACAATGTTGCGGTAAGCTCCCTTGACACCTGGTGTTCGACCTGGAAACTGTTAAGGTGGTAGGACGAGAAGAATTAGGAAACTAGATCTGAAATCATTTGTGTAGAAGTCATAAAACACTGGTTAATATCTGATTTGTAATGTCATTGTTGTATGACATTCCTATGGAGACATGAACAAATGTCAATTCATTCTAGATAGGGCATCGCAATAGACAGAAGAAATGACTTTATCAAAGTCTAACTTGGCATCCTACTTTCATTTCTGTTGCTGTGATAAAGTACCCAGGCAAAAAGCAACTTTGAGGAGAAAGAACTTATTTTAGCTCACACTTCCATCAATGAGGGAAGTCAAAACACAGGAACTTGACAGAGCTACTCATGCAGAGTCAAGAGCAAAAAGAAATAAATGCATACGTGTTTATTCACAGTCAATCCAGGTCCTCCTGCCTAGAGTTTGGCACCCTCTATAGTGACGGAGTCTTCCCACATCATTTAACAATAGAAATCAAGATAATCCCTCCAAGCCAACATGATCTAGACAATCCTTTATTGATAATCACCTGTGTGATTTTAGAGTCTAGAATCTAGACTCTGTCAGGTTGACAAAACTAACTTTCATACTTGGAGAATCTGTGCATTTGTTGAGGTCACTACAGGAGCATGAGGGAGTTAATGGCATTTATGCCATCTGAAAAGTCCACTATAGCATGGGTGATGGCTCATGGTAAGTGCACACCTCAAGTTCCCTGCCCAGCTTGCAGGCAGTTCCACAGGAAAGCACTCTCTCACCAGGAATTAGCTACTGCTTATGAAACATTGGGGATGGTCCTCCTTAGTCTTTGGAGTTTCACATGTCTCCCTCTCTTAGGGAATGGGATGTTTCAATTCAAAGGATATAACAGCATAGCAGTTTAGAAAGAGCACTGCATTGGGGTGATAGATCCTGATGCTTTCAAGACAACATACTGAGCTGAGTTTGGTTCCTAGAACACAAATCAGGAAAAGCAGGGTGTAATGACATGTGCTTGTAATCCCAGTGCTAGGTCCTCAGTTCTCAATGACCAGGCAGCCTCCGGCAATGGGGGACTCTGTATGAAAAACTGGAGTAGAGGAAGAATGACAACTCTAGCCTCCATATGCACATGCATTCACAGGCGTGTGTACACATGTGCTCCTGCACCACACATATAACATACACAGATAAGCTAGAAGGAAGCACTGATCTAGAGCTGAGAACCGGTTTGGTAGTTTATTCCTGATTTTTTTTTTTTATCTATTTAAAGTTGAGGGTCCTCCTGAATCTGTGGAGCACTCCCCAGGAGTGTGTCTTCATGGGCTCTCTCTTCGGGAAAGGAAACCCTGCATTAGATCTGAGTCTCCCAAATGCTGTCTCTCCAGGTCCTGTGTCTTATCACTGCTCCTGTCACCATGATTCTTTCCAGCCAGCAGGATGCAGCCTTTGCCTTTGCCTCTCTGGCCATAGTGTTCTCTTCCTACATTACACTGGTTGTGCTCTTTGTGCCCAAGGTGAGGTCCGGCTCTCCCCCTGCCTGTCCTAGATAGAACCAGGACTTCCTTGTTTTGGCCCAGCTTGTCTTTACGCCCAACCCTTTACCAGCTGCTCACTCACACAGCTCCTGCTCAGCCACCCACCCAGGGCCCCAACCTTTGCTCCCAGATGCGTAGGTTGATTACCCGAGGGGAGTGGCAATCTGAAGCACAGGACACCATGAAGACAGGGTCATCCACCAACAACAACGAGGAAGAGAAGTCACGGCTGCTGGAGAAAGAGAACCGTGAACTGGAAAAGATCATTGCTGAGGTGTGTGGTGACAACTGGGGGCCCATGTCTAAGGGAAGTTGAGCCTTAGATACAGGTTCAAGTGTTGGTGATTTGCAGAGGATCTCATAAGCCCTGCAAGGGAAAGGGTTGAGAGTCAGTCTCAACTAAAATTTCATGTTAGCCTGAGGGCAGGGAGGAAGCTGTGGAGCGGTGCCTGCAGATTCAGCCCTCCAGAGGCAAAGGAGCAGTCGTTGGCAGTGGTCAGGGGGAGGCCGTTGTGAGCGGTTGTAGCCCACATTCACATTGCTGTGCGAGGCAAGTAGCCACAGCAGATCGGTTCTAGGCAACTGCCCACAGTGTCCGCTGTGTCCAGGCTGTAGTTAGAGACCAGTGCAGCGCTGGGGGTGGAGGGTGGCATTCCAGCTTGGTTGATGCAATCTTCCTGCCATTTATTCTTTTGTTTTTGAATTCACTTATTTTCCTCGATCTGTTCTCTTGGTGCCTTTACATTCTTTGGCTTTCTTTGTAATTTTCCTGATTCACATTTTAACCTCCGCTCTCATCTGTACATCTCGTTTTAATGCCTGTCCTCCCTTCCCCTCCTCCCGTCTGTTCCTCCCACTCTTCCAATTGTGTTTCTCCCTCCAGAAAGAGGAGCGTGTCTCTGAACTGCGCCATCAGCTCCAGTCTCGGCAGCAGCTTCGCTCACGGCGCCACCCCCCAACACCCCCGGACCCCTCTGGGGGCCTTCCCAGGGGACCCTCGGAGCCCCCTGACCGACTTAGCTGTGATGGGAGTCGAGTGCATTTGCTTTACAAGTGAGGGGGTACCAAGAAGGATACGGCCAGTAGGGGAGGGAAGGGTGTGGGAAGAGGGTGGGGGACTGGGAGGAGGGCCAGGACTCCTGTCTCCAGCTGGAAGAACATGCTCCAATCCTCCTCTTATAAATATACGTCACTCTGTGAATCTGAGGTTATTTGGGTCTCCAATACTCTTGGGAAACAGACCGTCTTCTCTCTTATTCACTCATACAGTTTTGTATCACTGCTTCACAGTTTAGTTTGAACCCTGCTTGAAGCTGTTCACTCATAACCCCAGAGGGGCAGCTCACCATATTTTTTCTCCCACAGCCTGTCTTGTATAGTTACCACGGAAACTCCTGCGATTTTAGCAGCAGGGGTCTCCCCACAAGTGTTCTTCCCACACCAGCAGGACCCTCTCCGTTTCTCAGCATCAGAATGTCCTTTCATTGCCGTCCTTGCCCTATACATCCCGTGTTTTCCTCTCCCTAAATGTTGCTTCTTCAGGGGATTCACCCCTACCCAGGCCCACATGCTCTTGGCCTCTTTGCTCTGTGTGCCCCTGATTCCAGCCTCGCACCCCGCCCTCTGAGTGCATATTTTCTGAGTGCTTTCTCGTGCTGCCTGATCACTTGCGTTCTCTGAGTGCCCTGCACCTGTGAGTGCGCAGTGGTTATGGATATGTGCTGTGGTGTGCTTGGATAGGTGTGTATGGTATGTTGAGCACACTAAGCTGTCTTCCTCATGTACACATGTCACGTCTTTCTGTGTTTTACTTGTGTGACACTGCATTCTGTATTTACTTACTTGCGTCTTAACGTCATTGTGTGTTTTGTGTGTATATGTTTCCCTGGCTGGCTTCACGGCAGTCTTCTGTCTCACTCAACCTTTTTGAGTGTTTGGATTACAGTTGTTTACCTGCCTTGATGCCGTGTCTTTTTCCAACAGAGTCGTGTGCACCCAACATGCACATAGTTAAGCACATTCTCCCCAGTTGGTGTGTTCTGGGCTGCCCATACCCTCTCCTTGGTGTTATGTTTCCCCTCAGATGTCCCCTGAATTCCTTGCTCTCATGTGTACCACACAGTCATCTCTCAAGACTGCATCTTAGTTTTCTTTTCTTTATTATCATTATTATTATTTTTCAGAACTAAGGGAAAAGAAACGGGTACAGATTGGAGGCTGTTTCCAGTGGATAGTAGGTCCACATCCTAACCAAACGAAGGCGTGGACAGATGGACTGATGGGGCGGGAGGCAATGTCCCTTTCACACTGTGGTGTCTCCTGGGGAAGGATCTCCCTGAATCCCAATAAACCAGTGAACAGTGTGACTCTGCACCTCATCCTCCATCCTGCGAGCCGAGTGGCTCCACGCCAGGAAGGGAGAAGCCCAGGCTCTCAGGCTCGGAGTTAATGAAAAGGCTTTGAAGTGGAGAGGTGCAAAGAGACCCGTGATTGATCCCTACAGGATTTAGCAGGGCAAAGCAGGACAAGATTAAGGCCCTGATTAGTGAGTGGTGACATTGGTGGTTAAAAGTGTGGACTGCCAGCCTGCCAGGCCTGCGCCACACGCAGAAAGGTCTCCTGATCTCTGTTTCCCACTTTTGGGAATCTGGTAATAACAGTAATGATGATGCATTTCTCAAACCCAGAAAGGAAAGAGAGCTTGGAGAACCACAAGTCTATTTTCTGGGAGCCAATTAAAATACCCTGTGGCAGTGGTCTTGAACATCTCTGGGGGAGAGAGGGTCATCATTTGTCAGACTTTCTGAGATGCAGCAGGGTTTGGAGGGAGACAGGGGATGGAGAGTTTGGGTGAAACCTCCTCCATAATATTCCAGACTCTTTAGGTATAAGGGCGCCAGGGGCTGGGGTGAAGCTTCCACCATAACATCTGTTATTTGTTTGTTTTTTGATACAGTGCCTTGTCACATAGGAGCATGGTACTTACTATATAGCCCAGGCTGGCCTTGAATCATGGTGATCTTGCCTCGGGCCTTCCAAGTGCTGGATTGTAGGTGTTAAGCATTGTGCCCAGCAACTGATTTTATTTTTGAGACAGGGTCTTGTTATTTGGCTCTGGCTGGGTAGTCCAGGTTTTAAATTTACAGAAGTTCCCTTGCAGCTTTCCGAGGGATTGCAGTCATGAGCCACTGCACCTGGCTCCATTTAAGAAGTGCTGACTGGACTCGTTGGTTACTGGGAAAGAGAAGTGAGCAAGATGGCCTCCGAGAGGGAGAGGAGAGAGAGACAGATCCTTCGAAACAGTCTATGGAGTGTGGGGTTGTATGCTCTTTTCTTGGCCGGGAGACTGAAACTGGGGGGAGGGGCGGGGAAGGAACATTGTCAGCAAGAGGAAGTGGAGCCAATATCCAGACTATGCATTGCCACCTCAGACCTGCCCTTTCTGCCTGTCTTGTTTAAAGATGACTCTGCTAATTGCAGCTTCCCCCTCACAATACTCCATAACCTTCAGCTGCCTGAGACAGGCAGATTTTGGCTTATTTGTTAAGGCTTTTAGAGCAAGGGATTATTTACTTTATCCTTTGCATTCCATTAACCAAAAGGCAATAGTGGGCTCCACATCAAGCTGCCTCTCAAGCATGTGATTTAAAAAAAATATTAACAATCATTTGCATTTTATCCACTTTTATAGCCCCCCCTGGGGCAAGAAGTAACACCAGACTCTAGTGCAGCATTCTCAACCTGTGGTTCATGACCCCTTTGGGGATCAATGACCCTTTCACAGAGCTCGCATATCAGATATCTTTCGTATCAGATATTTACACTACTGTTCATAACAGTAAAGTTGCAGTTATGAAGTTGAAACGGGTAATTTTATAGTTGGGGGTCACGACAACGTGAGGAACTATTTAAAGGGTTGTAGCATTAGGAAGGTTGAGAACCACTGTTCTAGGTGATCTTCCAGCTGCCTAGAAATACAGGTGTGTGGGCATGGCAGGCTCTGGTGCAGCAAAATGGTGTACGTAGAAGAGGGGAAAGTCCTCTGTCATGGGTTCTCTAGCTGAGGTCTTGAAGGCAGGTAAAAGATTAATAATGTGAACTAGTGATGTGGTGGGAATGACCTTATACAAGTTAGTCTACCCAAAGGAGAAAGGGTCTTTCGCTTCTTAGGAAGCTGGTGGAGGGGAGTTATGTTAACAGAAAGGAGATCAGGGAAAGTGTGGTAAATACCGGGCCTGTGAATAAAAACTTGTTATGCAGATTTAAGCAAGTACCCTCTTCACTGATAAGAATGAGGCCTTTTCAAATGTAAATTTACTTTAGAAAAGGAAAATTTGTTCCCTGCTAGGCAGCATTCCCTGGGGGTTGATTTCCTGTAGCCTTTAGCTCAAAGTAATCAGCTTGTTAAAGAGACCTGTGTTAGCTGGTGGCACACACCTTTAATCCCAGCACCGAGGCTGGCAGATACCAGCGTTCCAGGCCAGCCAGGTCTATAGCGTGAGTTCCAGGACCTCCAGGGCCACACAGGAAACCCCTTCTACAAACAAAAACAAAAGGAGACTCATGTAGTGCTGAGTTTAGCGACATGCCTTTAATCCCACCATTCAGAAGTCAGAAGCCAGGGCTACATAGTGAGACCCTGACTCAAAAATAAATACAGAAGATGAAGCTGTGTGTTTTGAAGGCTCATTTTTAGTGCAGGTCTGGGGGAATGGTTAATCGTTCACAGTGTGAGACTTGGAAGGCTCGCTTTGATGGAGGCTGGGAAGTAAACACAACACAGCACAGATTTGCGGTGACTCCTCTTGACTCAAGCCTTGGCCTTGCACATGCTGGGAAGCTCTGCCCAACTGAGACAAACTCCCAGGCTCAAATTTCTTGCCAAAGTTGTTTTCTGTTTCTACTGTTCTCACTTGGGATACTTCCAATAGGGAGGCAAGTCTCAGGATGGACACATGTCTAGTTAAGATGGGCTCCTCTTTAGTTTGAGGACAGATTGAGGCTTCTCACTTGGGCTAGGAAGGCTCTATGTATATCAAAGCAGGACTTAGAGTTGGGGATCTGGATTCTGCTTTCCTGGCTGCCAGTCCTGACTGAGAACTTTGAGATGGTAATTGAACTCTTAGTTTTTGCTCCTGAAAAAGCTTTGTAATGCCACAAGAATTAAATGCGTCAAGGGTTGTAAAATACTCTCAATGGTACCTGGAGCATCACGAGACATCTAAGAATATTACATTGGCTGCAAATTAATGAGTAGATGACTTGTCGGTATATTAATGCAGTTCCAAATCTGGCCAGTAGATGACACCAAAATATCAGCGCTCAATTGTTCTGTCTGCCCAGTTCCCCCCCTTAAAGGGAAGTCATTTCTTTTTGTGAGCTGACTAGCACTAGGACTGCAGTTCAGGCTGCTCCCCAAGGCTTTGTTCTGGCCTCAAGGTAAGGATACTGGAACATTCTATTATGGTGTGGGAAGCTCAGCACGCATTTGGGAACGGTCTGACTGGAAGTCACAGGGTCTAAATTTTAGGCAAACATACTAACATTATTTTCTTTTGGGGAGGGGTGGGTTTCTGAACTAAGTTTCAGTTTCCTCTCAACCCTTGCTGATATTTGGAGGTTGAAACAGGAAGAGGCATAAAGAAATATAAAAAAAGAAACTCAAAGGGAGATACAGCAAAACTGGAGTGTGAAATAGAATTGGAAGTGGAAAAAAATAGTAATGAGGGGCAAGAGAGATGGTTCAGTGGTTAAGAGCATTCATATTCTTTCAAAGGGCCAGAGTTCAAATTAACTATCTGTAACCTGAGCTCCAGGGAATCATACACCCTCTTCCTGCTCACACACATACAGACATAGCATAAAAGTAAAATCTTTAAAAGACAGTGACTCTCTGGCGAGGGAATAAAATCAAAAGCAAAATCAGTGAAATGAGGCATATGAATTAACAAAAGTATAATGCAGATAGATTGCATTTGATTCCTCTGGTAATCTGTATGTGGCGTAACTATACTCCTTGGCTGAATCTCTCATATTTGTGTTGCATAGCATGCACTGTGTCATCCATTGCAGTGGCAGGGTAGGTCTGAGGAGGATGACAGCATAACCTTTTAATAAAGGCATGCAGAATCTCCCTTCAGCATATGGAGAGAGAGAGAGAAGGAGGGAGGGAGAGAGAAAGAGAGTCAGTTGGACTCTGCTCCCTTCTGTAGCAGCCTCCAGAACGCCCTTTTTACCTCCTTGTTCCTCAGAGTGTATATGAGAGGGTTGAGTGTAGGATTTCCCACTGCATAGAAGAGACCAAAGAACTTGCCCCTCTCTTTGGCATAGGGATTTCTGGGCTGCAGAGAGACAGCAAGGACTGTGCTGTAGAAGAGGGTGACCACAATGAGGTGAGAGGAGCAGGTCCCAAAAGCTTTCCTGCGCCCCTTTGCAGAGCTTATCCTCAGCACTGCCCTGGCGATGGCACCATAGGAAACAAGGATGAGACTCAGAGGCACAAGCAAAATGAAGACACTGGCAACAGCCATTTGTATCTCAATATAGGTGGTGTCACCACAGGACAGTCGAATCAAAGCAGGGGCTTCACACACGAAGTTGTCAACCTGGTGGTGGGGACAGAAGGGCAGGCGAAGAGTGGTTGGCGTCTGAACCACTGACTCCGCCAGGCCGCTGATCCAGGCCACAGCTGCCAGCTGCCAGCACAGGCGGGGGTGGATGATGGTGGCATAGTGCAGGGGTTGGCAGACAGCCACATAGCGGTCAAAGGCCATCACTGCCAGGAGGACGCACTCCGTTGTCCCCAGGATTAAGAAGATGAAGAGCTGGACAGAGCATCCCAGGAAGCTGATGGTCTTTGTGGGGCCCCAGAGGTTGACCAGCATCTGGGGGACACAGGTTGTGGTGAAGCAGAGGTCCAGGAAGGAGAGGTTGGAGAGGAAGAAGTACATTGGAGAGTGGAGCCTGGGGTCCAGGGTGGACAGCAGGAGGATGAGTGTGTTTCCCAGGAGGGTGATGAGGTAGGAACACAAGACAACCACAAAGAGAATCTTTTCCAGGCGTGGGTGTTCAGAGAATCCCAGCAGGAGGAATCCCCCTGGGGAGCTGTGGTTGACCATGACCTTTTGTGTCTGGTTGGAGGGATGAAGCTGTCAGAGTCGTGTGATAAAGATGCACCCTTATCAGGACACACAAGCTAGACTCGGGGTTCTTAGGCTCCCTTCTCCAGGCCCATCACTTAACTTGGCCTCTTCCACCGTTCCTCCCGGCCAGTTAGTGCCTGGTAGCTGGTAGTGGAGAGAAAAGTGGGCGTGGTGGAGAACGGGTGGATCCTCATTGGTTTCCTGGTGGAGGGCAAAGCATG